CAGCAGGGAGAAAGAGAAGAGGAGGGAGAAGCGATGCCAGCTCTCTCCATCCCTCCTCGCCCCCAGGAAGACTTGCCTAACCTCCCAGGAACAGAAAAAGCCCAGAGTTGGGCTGGTCCCTCTGCTGTCCCTGACTGCCCTGCACCCTTTGTCCCCCCCCAGCCCCCCCACAACACACACACTGACCCCCTACTTACCTGATGCTCGTGGCTTGAAAAACAGGTCGGACAGTGACATTTTGTTCTCACTGTCACAGTGCGCCGCCCCCCCCCCATACCCCCCATATCCTCTGACTCACAGCAGCAGGTGCACAAAGTGGAAGTCTCAGCCGCATGTACAGAGACAAGGGACAGGTCCCCCCTCCAGGACTGTGGTATTTGCTGGCCACATCCATGTTCCTCTCGGGAACTGGAAGGTGCCATGTTCTGGTCTGGGTGCCCAAGGTGGACTGCGAGTAGGTGAGCAGAGGCCACAAGCCCTTCTGCCCTCCTAGCAAAGCCGCCATCTCCAGGGGTTCTTCAGGATGGGAGCCATGTCTGGGGTGATCGGAGCAGCTGGGGTTCCAGTCTGGCCTTTCCTTGCTTGTTGTTCGGAGAGAAGGGAAGGGCCAATAAGGTGCTAGAGATATTTTCAGAGCACTTGATTAATCACTGAAGATGTCCGAGCTTAGTTGGGTTTCAGATTCCGTGGCTGAGTGAGAACTGGAGCCTTTCACTGAGGCCTCTGCTAGTGTTTCCTGCCCCATGTCTACCCTGGGGATTCTGAGCTCCATTTGTCCAGCACCTGTGAATGGCTCCCTTAGATTGAGACCATTTTCCTAGCTCTCATGAGCAGGAGCTGCTGTCATGCGCTGGTAACCCTGGAGAAGACCCCCAGTGCGCACGGGCAAGGAGGGAGGGGCCTCGGCCATGCTGTGCTCTCCTCTGCTTTGAGACCTGCCCACCTGCAGGCCTCACTCCATGCTGGTGCCAAAGAGCAGCCTAGAATCAAGTGAGACAAGCCCTGAACAGCTACAGTCTGACGGTTGAGGTCGTGTGGTGCAGGAACCCATGCATACAGTGTGTACTTTATTGCTGAGGCTCCTGGGGGTGGGAGCAGCTGTTCATAGGCCATGGCGACTGGGTGGAGGCTTGTCACTGTTTCGCCTAAAAGGGTTCAATCTGAGCAGCCTCTGGACCTCAGAACCTCTTCCCCCAGAGCACTGACCACTGGATCTGTCCAGGGCAGCCTCTACCCCCACTCCTACCCACTGCTCTTCTGACCTCTCCTTGTGCTTCCAAAACCTTTCATTTGGGAATGACCCAGCTGTAGAGGTGCAAGTTTCCATGTGCCATTCACTCAGCTCCCCCTATTGGAGAACACCCGCCATAACCATGGTTCTGCCCCAGCTGACAGCAAAGCCTTGGGAAGCAGGTTCAGCTTTTAGAACCCGGGGAGGAGCTCCTGGGTGGGTTTCCCCACCGGGTGGCAGAGACTAGGATAGTGCAGTGCATGAGGCAAGAAACAGCAAGGCCAAGGGGAGGGGAGCACCCTCGCAGCCAGATGACTTTGCAGCTGGCACCCTCTGGAGGTGTAGTAACTGGAACCTTCAGGTGTGTTGGCATCCAGGTAGATTTACTTGGGAAATACACCATTTCTGGGACGCTGGGAAGCCTTCCTCTTAACTTTCCCTGGGCCAGTTATCCCTGCTCTGGGTGACAAAAGCCAGGAAAACACAAGACCCTACCTCCTGATGCAGGGACTGAGATCTGGTCTCAGCTGACGGATAGGAACCATTCACAAGGACTTGAGGAGACTTGGTGTGCTCTGGGATTAAGTGACTCAGATTCTAAGGTATGTGGGCACTTCCTGCCCCTTGGAGGCTGATGCAACCTGACTGACACTGAGGCCTGGAAGCGCTGTCATGGATAATGAGCTTGAAGTCCTTCCTGCCCAGAGTTTGGATTTAGGCATGTGAAATGAGTCCCGACAAAGTCCTGAGTAACTGAGAATGAAGACTAGGACTTTTATTTGGGAGTGTGTTGGAAGCCAGGCCCTCAGACATGCAACCATTTGCTTTACCTCTTGTACCATATCCCCAGTTTGGGACATTTCTTTTTGTTTGTTTTGGTTCACATCTAGCAGTGCTCGAGCATTTCTCCTGAACTCAGCAATTACTCCTGATGGTGCTTGGAGGACCATATGTGGTGCTGGGGATCAAACCTGGGTCGGCGTGTGCAGGGCAAATGCCCTACCCACTGAACCACTGCTCTGGCCCCATTTTTGTTTCAACTAAGCTGCCTTTCAGCTCATTGGTTCTCAGAGATGGGAAAGCCGTGCAGAGTGACCTCGGGCTGTTGGTGGAGGGATGGCATGTGTGTCTGGAAGGCCCTGGGCGGGGGTTCTGGTACACATGTAGAAACCTCAATAAATGGAGCTAACAGTATTCTGCACTATGTCAGGCCTGAAGCAAGCAGGGGGATTGGCAGGCAGATGAGGGAAAGGGGTATTGCACTGTGTGCTCAGTTTGACACCTTGCCTGGAGGGTCCAGATCATGCTCAGAGACTGGCCCAAACCCCATTCATTCCTGCTCCCTCCCTTCCCCGGGCGCTTGTGTGTGACCAAGCCTTGAGTTCCTCCAGTGAAAAGGACCAGGACATCTATCTCCCTGCCAGGACTATTGCTGGGGCCGTGCACCATGGAGGCCTCAGGGTAAGTCTGTTATCTCCTCGCTGACTAGGCATCTCTTGTGACAGGTTGCATCTCCCAGACCAGCTTGGCTACTGTGCTGGGTGGGCTGCGGTGAAACCTTGCCACCAGAGAGAGGGGAGAGTTTGGGCAGTGGCTGACAGGATATGAGAACTGGAAAAGGCCGATTACCAATCCAGCCTCCAGAGAGAGGCATTGCCAAGTGGGGAGATATAAAAAGATACACAAAAATAGAATGAAAAAAGATTGCCAAAGAACTCGCTACATTTATAAGACTCATGAAATTCATGAGTTCCAAATATTTTAAAATCCTCACTGAGTTTGGCAGTGGGCTTACAATGTTCTCAAAAGGGGCCACAGATCTTTTGAGGCTTACATTGGGGGCCAGCAATTCAAAATGTGTCTTTATGGGAAGAGCGACCACTCTCACCACAGGTCACCTGACAAAGAGTGCTCAGGGGGTTTCTCAACCCGTGGGTTTGTTTAGTCCCAAAGGGTTCAGCTCATTCAGAGGAAAAACAAGAATTCTGGGCAGACCCCCCCATTTGCCCCTGCACTGCTCTTTGCATCACCCAGGTACGGAAAGCCCAGGTTCTGGGCCATTCTTTCTCCCTGCTCTGGCTTGGCTGTATCTGAGAAACGGCCCTTAGGGTTTTTCTTACAGGCCTCGGTGGGAGGCCGCGGCTCGTTAGGACTGGCTCATTCTCATGCTTTGTCCTTCCCCCTGCAGTGTACGTGGTAGAAGACCAAAGAAGGGATGATGTGGGCTCTTCCACCTGCCTCACGGCCTGCTGGACTGCTCTCTGTTGCTGCTGTCTCTGGGACATGCTCACCTGACCAGCACAGCCCTTGTCCTGCTGCCACGTTTGGCACCTGTGCCTGCCCCACCTCTCCGATGCTGAAATGACTAGCTCTGCACAGATACTTCTACCTTCAACAAAGTGGATTCTAGATTAGCAGGGGTTGTGGCTGTTTAATTCAATGACTTGATCTTTCTAAGGCTCAAAATCCATTTCTTATTGGTCTTTCACAAATGTGCTAAATGACTTTCCTTTTATTTTTTGTCAAAGGCTTATTACAAAATATATATATATTTATAATTTAAAAATTATACATTCAAGGTAGTGGCATGATCTAACATACCACTAAATGATTTCTTTGCTAACACCCTGTTATGTTTCAATAAACTTTGTCTAAACCTCCACCATCTGAATTATTCCAGACCGAATCTGGGCCCTGCTTCATCTACCTCCCGATGCTCCCCGACGCTAAACTCTGGGTCTGGCTGCCACTAGAAATCAGGTCATGGGTGCCCCGCCAACCTCTTATTCTCTTCCTAACCCAGAGATGGCCACACCGGGGCTGTCATCACTTTCACCAAAGTTTCAGAAAAGGCGTCTGGTTAAGTGGGCTGCTCCAGGGCTGCCGTGTCTGTGTACAAACGAGTCACCACAGCCACCATCTCTGCTTTGGCCGCCAGGTGGCACTGAGCAGCTACAGCAAAGCACCAGCTCGGCGTCTTTCCCTCCAGAGAAGTTGCATTCAACAGACAAAAGCCTTCAGTGTGCTGCACCACCCGGGTTCCAATCTTGGGCTCTATCAGTGTGACACCCTGACCATGCAGTTAAGCAGAATTTCCACCATCCAGTCACAGTAGCCCACCTAACCTCAAAAACAGATAATGACCACATTTAGGACATTAGGAAGAGATAAGTTCTGATTATCCTTGGTTTTTTATTTTGTTTTAAATTCACATGCTTTGTGACTATGTTTACATCTTTTAAACACCACCTGCAACAAAATTCCTCGTGAGTCAGTGCTAGCCAGACTCAAACAGCATAGCCCCTGTGCGCCCTCAGGATTTCTGCCCCACCTCAACATGGGCAAGAGGGTGGCAGTGCTGGCGGTGCAGTTATTACTGGATGTTCTTTTGGAGTGTCTGGGAAGAAGCAAGGAAGGCATTGTTAGCCTGTGATGCTCACTTATGTGCAGCTACACACTCCTCTTTCTCCCGTATCTGCACTGACAGAGCCATTTACTCAAAAGACAAGGAGAGGGTGGCTGTCCAGGCAGAGCTGAGTGGGGCCTCCACTAAAACAGGGCACGTGTCCTTTATGGATGGAACAGGATGGCAAGTCACACCCTTCTCTCTCCTGGGAGTTAAGGACTCATTCTCAGGGAGCAGGCGGGGGGGCTGGAGAAAATATAGTGTGGTAAGGTGCTTGCCTTGCATGTGGCCAACCTGGGTTCAGTCCCCCGAGCACCGCTAGGAGTAATTCCTGAGCATCACTGGGTATGGCTAAAAACAAAGGTGGGGGGGGGGGGGTTGGACGGACACACAAGCGTGTCAAGCAGAACCAGGATAAAAAAAAATACAGGGCTGGGATATGAAGGGGCACAGTGATCTGAAAAAATGGGGTTACCAGACATCCAGATTAAACATCCATCAGAAGAGGTTTGGGCCCTCCACCCTCACAAGGAAGAGGAGCCACAGGAAAAGCTTCCCCAGGGCCTCCTACTGCGCCCTTCTGGCCATGAGCATCTCTCGGATGTTGTCCTCAGCTTCCTTGACACTCCGCTCCAAGTAGGATTTCTTCTGCTGCATGAGGAGAAAGAAAGGAGGGTTAGGACAGGATGGATGGGCCCGGCTGGCAAACACTGCTGTCATCCCCAGTGGCAATGACTTCTCCTCGAGGAGCACACTGGTAGGGGGCAGACTGCTCCCCTACTCACAGGCCCCGGGTAGGGCACATGGTACAGGAAGCAGAAGTGCTCCATGGAAGACAAAGCGGCAAGTCCTACTACCCCAGAAGGAAGCAGACTTTAAAAACAGGCGCCTTCTGTTCATGAAGTTACACCAGACAAAGACCAGGAAATTCCAGGACAAAGCTCTGGCCCCTAACAGACAGTCTCTCAAGGTTTTCCACAGCCCGGGCCAGGCAGCAGGAGCCGCCACTGCCACCGGGCAGCACACCCAGAGCTGTGTCCAGCGAAAGCGACAGGCGGCAAATTCGGAGTTAGCGCACGTCTCCCAGAGGTACATGAGTCAGGAGGAAATCTGCTTTTTTAATGAAACGACTCCCCGCCAGGAATCCGCGACAGTGACACACCATGTGAAGCTGATCTTTCAGCTTACCCTCTACCCATCCACCCTGCATTTACAACCCAACTTAGACAACTTGACCTGCTTTCAGAGCCACCTCTAGACCAGGATTACGGATTAGTCAAAGGAAATGATGTCTGAACATGATTTGCTCTGTGGTCACCCAAAATGTGGTGGCTTCCCCACTGGCCCTGTGCTCAGGACGTGGCTGTGGCTGCATTCCCGCTTGATGGGCAGGAACTGAAGGCTCCCTTTGAAGACTGTTCAGAACAGCCCTCCCAGGCTGCATGGGCCAGAGCCGAACCACAGCAAAGCCCTGCCCCATGGGTGCAGACACAGCAAGGGATCAAGTGCCTCAGGCGGCCTTGCACTGGCAACTCAAGCACCAGTGACCAGGGAAGCCAGCGCATGGCTGGGCAGAGGACAGGTGAGCCTGGCTGCCATGACAGGACAGCTCTCCCCTTAGAGAGTAGAAAACTGCAAAGGTGCCTCCTCCACTGCACTAGGCTGTCAGCAACTCTGGAGCACCCCCATGTGCGCCCTGCCTCTGACAACTCACACTCGGCCCGGAGTTATTATGAGACAGTTCCGATAGGTACCAAATGTGGCACCCACAGAACTTTATCAGTTCTTGTATGAACTTCTGATTCTGTTTGTCTTCTTCAAACGTCACCTCTCCTGATGTGTCTCTCCTCGTTCCCCACCTGTCCACTGTGCACACGCTTCCTTGCAAAACAAGCGCTCCATAAAAAAAACGCAGTGACCATGACAACCCAGTGGCTACAACTGTGTATTGTTGCTAAGGAATCTGGCTTAGTAACATGGCTAACCCTGATACCATACTATCATTGTGATATCAGAGGGGGAACTTAAACTTCCTTTGATAAACAACCCTTGGACTTTTATTTGTGTTGAGTTAAAAAGAAATACTAATAACTTCTGACACACCACTGAAGAATGTACAGGGCCTGGGTGTTGCAAAGAAAGGGAGCAGCAGCTAGATAGTGAGTGCCATGCCGCATCTGGGCACAGCCAAGGCCCCAACCCTGGGAGAATGTGCGGAAAAGGCCACAGAGCACACATGCGCTCTTGCAGTGGCTGGCCAGGCCAGGCTCTGCTGCAGTTCGAGTCCCACAGCTCGCTGCCCCAGTTGGCAGAACCACAAACTTGGAGGATCAGCAAAAGCTTCTTTCTCAACTTCCCAGGCTGCTGGCCAAGTGAATTCAGGCTGTGGTCTCAGCTTTAAAACTTTATCCTGTAACATCTAGCGTCCAATCCAGTTTTGTCATTTTTTTTCTCCATTTTACCACTGCATAGCCTGGGGCTGGAGAGAGAGTACTAAGATTAAGGTACCTGCCTTGCATCCTACCAACCCTAGCACCACATGTTGTCCGCCAGGCATCACCAGGGGGTCATTCCTGAGCAAAGAGCTGTGGCCCAAAAGCAAAACTACTGCCTAACCTAAAGTCTTCACATTTAAACAAAGATGCAAAATGAATTTATCTGTCTTTACATTTTTATTTAATGGCCTACTGGGCCATTTTTTTCCCAGGGGATCTGTTTTCTAAATGTTTTTCAGTAGTTTCAATCCATCATCAAAACACTTCTAAATCCAGAAAGCCCCCATAATGAAGCTTGGAGTTTACCCACAAAAGCATGTCTGATGATGTCTCATAAAAACATGCTGAAACCCTAACCCAGCAGTATTTTTAAATGTGACCTTACTTGGAAATAGTAGATATAAGCAAAGATTAGGCCATATCACACTAGGGTGATCCCTAAACAGTGACTTTTGAGGTTACATGAAGACAAGGATGCAAAGAGAAGGCATCACAATGGCCGGAGGCGGCAGAGTAGAGGTAGGCCAACAATGGCTGGCCAAAACCAAACCCAGATAAAAATAGCAAAAAAGGATTCTTTCCCTAAATTCTTCAGGAGGGGCATGATCCTATAAAACCACGACTCTGAGCATTCATCCTCCAGATTTCAGAGAATCAACTTGTTTTAAGCCTCTAGTCTGGAAAATCTGTAGCCTCAGGAAGCCAACAAGGACCTGAGGCTTCAGGTCCTGAGGGGACCCCAAAAACAGGTTCTATCCCATGAATCTTCTCAGCCCACAGAAGCCAAGGTATGGATCCCTAAACAATATATATGCTGGAGTCATACTTATCCCAAAAGCAACTATGGCAGAATTGAGTCAAATATAATTGAGACCATCCAGGGGATGGAGAAAATTAAAGAACCAATGATTTATCCAAAAGCTGATAAATCAAACTTTTTCTTCCTTGAATCACCAAGCTTCTTCCTAAAACTACAAGTAAAACCAGAAACGTGGGGCTCCAGACTTCCTCATTTCTGTAAACGTCAACTCCTTTCTTCTGACTGCTCAAGACAAAAACCTTCGGTGTCATCCTTGAATCTTCTTTCATAAGAGCTCACATCAATCAACAAATCCTGTTAGCCACTATCTCAAATCGTACCCTGAACTAGACCTGAATGTCAGCTTCCTTTCATCAGCCCCGTTCCCCCTCCCTTTCTCCTACGGAGGCCAGAGTCTTCAAACACTCTCCATGGCTTCCCGTGGCACTGGAAGCAAAGGCAGTGCCTCTTCAGAAGGTCCTGTGTCTGGCTCGGGCTGATCTCAGGCTTCCCTCCCGAAACTGGCCCAGACACTGGCCCCAGGTAGTCCTCCCCTGAACTGTCGAGGAACTCTCTTCCCTAGAAAGCCCTGGTTTTCACTTCCTTCAGACCTCTCTCATGTCACCTGAACGGAGAAGGCTTCTTGGTTACATATGGCTCCATACTTTCTATTACCCAAGCCAGAGTTTTCTCTGTAGCACCTGCCATCATCTTTGTCACTCTTCCTTGATGAGAAGAAATGGTCAAGAAGAAGACTTGGCTCTGTCTACTGATGCAGTGCCAGTGTCTAAAGTAAGGCAGGTGAACAACTGGAACTCAGTACTTGTAGAATGAAAGTGCAGTTGTTATGAGAAGTGACCGACCTGCACACACATTCTTTTTCAGTTCTCCCTCCCCAATAGAGGCAGCCGCAGAAGCTTAGGCAGATCATGTTCTCCAGAGATGCCCTGGGATATACAGAAGTTTAAAACTCAAACTTTAGGGGCCAGAGCAATAGTACAGAGGGTAGAGTACTTGACTTGCACGAAGCCAAGGGTTCAACCCTCAGCTACCCATATGGTCCCAAGCCCTTTACCACGGAGTGTGGCACAAGAACAAACCAACAACAAATACAACAACAACAACAACACAATTCAAACTTATCATCCTGATAAGGAAATCAAGGCTTGGTTTGGCATATAGAACAAGGCCCTTATAAAACACATCCCAGATGCAGAAATCCCTGGCAAACTGCGGCATCCTTTGTCACATGAGGCTGCCGCAAGCCAAGGGGATTCTGACTGTCCTGAGGCAGTTGGACTGCCAAGGCAGCTGCGGGAGGCATTAGAAGCTGACACCTTCCTCCAGGGGTCCGGGGCAGACATTTGCTGGCTTCTCCACAGCCCTTGTCTGTCTTGCTGACACTCTCCCGAGGAAATTCTCTAGTTAGCATCAAACCACAGAGCACTGGTGAAGCAACATTCTTGTGGGGCCTGGTCCTGACGTCAAGTTCTGAGATTTACTGTGGGGCTCAGGACAGCCAGGGAAATGACACTGTTGGGGTTATTGCTCATCACTCTGAGGTTCATTCTGGGAGGAGTGAGACTGCGACGGCGGCAGGGGAAGCGGCGGGGAAGCATCCCATCTCATCAATCCCTAGAACTTTTCTGAATATAGAACTTTTCTACCATGATACAATATCGCAAACAAACTCCTGAGTTCTTTCACCTTGTGACGGATCAATTTTATTTTTGTTGTTTTGGGGTCACACCCAGAGGCATTCTGAGGCTTAGTGCTCAGGAGTCACTCCTGTGATACTCAAGGGAACCACGTGTGCAGGGGAACACGCAGTGCTGGGCAGTGAATCCCAGTTGTCCTGCATGCAGAGCATGTGCTGGCCCTGTGGGCCTCCTTCCAGGTCCTTATCTCCATATTTTTATCTCTGTCTAAACGACAAACTTTCCTATGTTTACTTGGGAAGGGGAGAGTTTACCCTCTATTTCCATTTGTAGAGTAAGGATTTATTTGGACAATATCCATATCCCACTCCCCTGATTTTCCTTAGAACTTTTTTTTCTTTCCAGTTTTTGGGCCACACCCAGCGATGCTCACAGGTTACTCCTGGCTCTGCACTTAGGAATTAATCCTGATCATGCTCAGAAGGCCATATGGGATGCTGGGAATCAAACCCACGTCGGCCACATGCAGAGCAACTGTGCTACCCACTGTACTATCACTCCAGCCCCTAGATAGAACCCTCTTCAAATGAATTCTTGTCCTAAAAACAGAACAGTATATAATATGGAGTTCTGGGGAGGAAAGAGACCGTGAACTAAAGCAGAGCTGGCTGGCCCCTTTCCTCAATCCAGGTCTCAGTA